TGCTACGGCCCTTGCGGCTGCCTCCTCTGCTCTTGCTACCACTGCTCTTGCTACCACTGCTCTTGCTACCACTGCTCTTGCTGCTTGCATCTTTGCTTTTCACTTGCTTTACTTCATCATTCTCATCTTCACCCACAGCCTTTTTACGATCAGGAGAAGCAGCAGATGATGAGGAAGAAGAAGAGTCAGCTGAGGAGGCAGAAGATGAACTGGATAGATTTTTTGCACTGGGGTCTGTCCCAAACTCTGTGAGCATAGTGTTTCCTTTCTTAGAAGGTCGCTTCTTCGGGTGTCCTGTTTTATTGGAAAGCTGCAAAAACAGTTCAAAGAGAAGTGCAAGAGAGAATACATCTGCTTCTATAGTTACAAAGTAAAGCTTTTCTGGGTGTCAGACAAGCTGCTCACATCAGCCTTTCAAGGAACAACAACAAGGAAGCTGCAGAACTCCCTTAGATCCACTCTGCCCAGTTGAAATCCAGCCCAGCACAGAGGACCAGGCCCAGCAGGATGCGACCCTTAGCATCGGTCCCTCCAGACGTGGCACTGGCTGACAGGCCTGGCACCAGCCCCATCCTTCCTTTCTCATCTGTGGTGGTTTGGCCCTGAATGAAGGCCAGGAGCTCACCAAAGCCGCTCTATCACTCCCCTTGTTTTTAGAGGGACAGGGGAGAGGGAGGATGTAACAAGAGGCCCGTGGGTTAAGATAAAAGCAGTTTAATATAGCAAAAGCAAAGACTGCGTGTGGAAGCAAAGTCAAACAAAGATTATTCTCTACTTCCCATCTGTGGGCAATGTCCGGCCACTTTCGCAGGAAGCAGGGCTCCGGTACACGTAGTGACTGCTCCAGAGGACAAACACAAACAGCGAATGCCCCCCCACTTCCCTCTTCCTTCTTGATTTTATATCTGAGCCGATGTCATGTGGTATGGAATACCCCTCTGGTTTGTTTGGGTCAGCAGGCCTGGCTGTGTCCCCTCCCCAGATGTTGCCCACTCGCAGCCTACTGCTGGGGGAACGTTGGAAAACCACAGCCTCAGTGCTGTGCGAGCCCTGCTCAGCAGTAGCCAAAACACTGGGGTGCTCTCAACACCCTTCCAGCCACCACTCCAGAAATACAGCACCGAGAGAGCTGCTGTGGGAAGATTAACTCCACCCTAGCCTGACCCAATACACTCATCCCAGCTTTCCACACTGAATGTCAAATTCTTGGCTTCATTTATGGGACAATATCCCCTCCTCACATGCTCAAAGTCTCTTACCTTGAACACCTTTTCAATGCCTAGAATCTTCTTCAGCTTAGCTTGCATGTCCTCATATGGAGATGAATCCTTCTCTTCCTCGGACTCTGAACTTACCACATGAATTATTTTGGAAGCTGCTCTGGATCCTGCCTGAATCTCCAACTGAATTTTGTCAATGTCACCATCTGTTTCAACTGCAGACCAATTGCACACATTAGAAGGTTATATAGCTTCAAATAGCACCAACAAGCCTAAGATGACAAGGCTTGTGCTCAATACTGTACCTGGCATCACGACTATTTTAGCTTCATGTTCTCCAATTAACCTGTGCAAATATGTATCTTTTAGGAAACTGGCATCTTTCGACCTTCTGGAAAAGCAGAGCTGACAACCAAGATGATGCAGTTTGATGCAAACGTCTCGTTTATGAGTTTTTCTTCCTGTGCTATAGCGAACATCTTCAGAGCTAGAGGCATATTTCTTTGGCGCGCTGTCAGCTCCTTGCTGCATTGGAGATGAGAAAGTGAACACCACTGGGAGTGTATCATAGGCAAGAGTAAAACTGCAGACATGTGCAGCATGGAGAGGGTAAATATTGCAATATAAGCAAAAAGGAGTAGGTTACCGTTGTGAAACCTTCACCGGAAGCTCTCTCTGATGGTTTGAAATGTTCTTCCACAATACTTGATGAGGCATCTCCAGGAAGAATTGAGGTCCTCTTTTCAACACCTAGTTCTGCTATATTTCTTGATACAGCGAAAGCCTTCTGTCTGTTGAGATACGCATAAAACAAATGGTGAACTGTGCTGAGCCCTTGTCTTTGGATTAAACAGAATTCATCCCTGTCAGTATCATGTGACAGCACAGAGACATTTTGATTGAATGTAAGGATTGCATATGCAACTATAAGTATAAATGCTACTGAGGACAAATAATAGTTCATGACAAACATCAGTTCCTTGTATCACAGAAAGTGTTCAAAATTTGGATAAATTTAAACAAATTTACAAAACATGAAAGGCATTAATTAAAAAAAAACCACCTAAAACGTCTAAAAGACAATAAAATAATAAACAAAAAAACCCCCCACAAAATAATAAACAGATTAAAAAGTAAACTCCTACATAATCTGAGTATCTTTTCACTTTTAACTCCTCTACTTCTCTTCCTTGCTCTTTATTCCAAAGATTCTGCTAAACACTGAAGAGTCACTGCCTATCTAGAAACCTTGGTAGGAAGTCAGCGAATAGAGAATTTCTTAAGGTTTCAGCCACAGGAGGTGTTTTGAAGTAAGGCTACAATACCTTCCAACCACTATCTCGGTCTCCTCACGGCACGGAGTTGTTTCAATCTTAATATTTTTCAGTTTCACATCTACTTTGGCATCAAACTTCAGTGGCACCTTTGTCAAGACCTTGCCTTGAATTTCAACAGCATGTTGAAAATATTCTGTGTTGATACCCATGGTTGCGACCGTATATACGTATAAGCTGAAACAAAATGAGGTCAAATGTAAGAGAGGTGCTCTTTTTTTGTCATGTGGTTCTGCCTTTTCATAAAAACCTCCGCCATATATAAAGCCTTAGAAACCTGCCATACCTTGGGTTTACATCAGACCGAATCTGCACAGTGGATTCAAGCAACTGGGAAGGTCTAAAATCTCCACTTAAAGGGGGGGTTATCTTTCCATCAACTGCAAAAACCAGAACACCATTTAAACACGGTACAAGTGAAAGAGAGGATTTGAATTGAAGCAAGACACAGTTCTCAGGAAGAGGTAGTATTTTTGTTATAGCCAGTAAACAAGACAGACTTTGGGGTACACAGGATCTTTCATGACTCTGACAAATACTGAAAATATAAAGAAAGCTTTTTCTGTAGGCAAAGGTTCTGATGCAACATATTGGAAATGGAAATAAAAATACAGTAGGAAAATCTTAGAGAGCTGACCCAAACGGAAAGCTTGTCAGTTGGTGTAACATTCCGATTTCAAAAACGTGAGGAGCCAGAAGACAGAGTGAACGGTGGGGAACGAGACTAAACAAACCCTCCAATCTTTCCGCACACCAAGTGTGACCATCTTTCTTGCCCTGAGGACGCCGCAGGGGACATCGTGCTCCAGCTGCAGCCTCGGATGCGCTGAACAGAGGGCGGGAACCGTTCCCG